CATAACGCCTGTTCGAGCTGGCCGTTTTTCGTTGCATCTTTACTTCGTCAATAAGCGACCGAGCGCTGCTCTGAAACAGGACGCTTCTATCGGCGCAGACTAGACGGCATTGCTTGTTACTTGCAAAGTTTTCTCTTCTTTTAGTTCTTCGTAGCGTTTGTCCCGCCCTCCGTTAGCTGGCGCCTCCCGATTTTAATTATGCCATTTATTCCGATAGTAATTTTTGATCCAGCCGGGAGCACCAGCTATCTTTTGGAATCGCTCTGCAGCGTTGTCCTCAACGCCAACGTTGCCGAGGGCGTCCTCTCGCGCGTTTCGGAGCACTATCGAGCTGGAGACCGTTTTGCAGAAGCTGTCCGCGCTTGTCGCGTGCGAAGACGTGGCACAATCGGAGGACGAGATCTCGCCTTTATCAAACTATGGAGCTACGCCCAAACTTCTCGGCGTGCGTCATTCGTTGCAAGAATCCGCGATCCGATAGCGTGTGATGCAACGGCCGTCGCAGCGTAGCATTTTCACTCGCATCACACTTAAGGCGGGCTTCGACTTCCTTTGCCAGCACTCAGCCCCGTACAACACTACTGGTCTGACCACAGTTCTATAAATATTCGATATGAGGTGCTCCGGTATGGTCTTGTCACACAGAACTCCAGTTATCGAACGCGGCGCATGCTGGCACTCACACGAGAGTTCACCTCTGAGGTCAGACTGCCATCGGACACAATTTCTGATCCAAGATACTTGAAGGCTCTTGTGCGTGTGAGCTCGATGCCACTGATCCTAATGGAATCGGACTCATTTGTATCGGTCGTCAAGTACTCGGTTTTCTTGATGTTCAACTTCAGTCCGAATTTTGTCAGGCGATCAGACCAAGCTTGCACCTGCTGCTCGAGTTCGTTCTTATCTTCACTGGCCAGCACCACATCATCTGCGTAGAGGAGCGTCAAGGACTCGGTTTCTGGAGATCTCGCGAGATTGCATCCAAGACGACCACGAAAAGGAGTGGAGAGAGCGCAGAGCCTTGATGTACTCCGACCGTGATGGGAAAGTCCTGCGAAGTGCCTGATGGTGCATGCACGCGGCTCTTTGGCTGGAGTACAGGATGCGCACCCACTCAATAAGCTCTTCCGGAACGCCGTGTTGCCGCAAGGCGTACCATATAACTTCACGCGGAACACGGTCGAATGCCTTTTCTAGGTCCAGAAAAGCTAGATGCAGTGGTACTTGCTTCTCACGATGTCTCTCCAGCAGAAGACGCGCGGCATGTATGGCGTCGATGGTGCTACAGCCTGCCACAAAGCCGCACTGATTGATAGAAAGCTGGACGATTTCGCGAATACGACTGTCAACAATACGCTCAAAGATCTTCATACTGTGTGACAGCAGGCGAATTGGACGGTAGTTCAAGCAGTCCGCAGGGCTGCCCTTCTTCCAAATCGGAATCGTCGTGCTCTTGCCAGTCCTTGGGCGTCTTCTTCTCAGCAACGACCTGATTGAAGAAATCCGTCAACCATTGTGCAGGGTACCAGCACCGTGCCTTCCACAAGTCGGCTGCCACGTCGTCAGGTCCTGTTGCTTTGCCTGACTTCATCTTTCTGAGAGCCGCCTTCGTCTCTTCTACGGTTACTTTCTGAACGGGACCGTATACTGGGGGGACGAAAGGGATGGCCGGGTGCGCATACTCTACGGTTGAAATATTCTCAAAGAAGTCGTGCCATCGCCTCAGCACCCTCTTTCGGTCCATCAAAAGGCGGCCATGCTCGTCGTTAACGCCAGGAAATTTCTCGATATCTTCGGTCTGACGATGCCGAGCCTTGGCAAGTCGGTAGAGGTGCCGCTCACCATCACGTGAATCGAGTTCCTTACTGACATCTTCGAAGTGGGCGGCCTTCGCTGCAGCCACAGCCTTCTTCGCTACATTCTTCGCTTCTTTGTACTTACGCCAGCTACTAGCTGACTTGTCAGCAAGAAACTCGTGGTAGCGCCTCTTCCTAGCAAACAAATGAATTACTTATTCATTTGTCTCTTCGATCAATTATTTGAAGGCACATGATTTGGTACTCCCTCTGAAATAATAGCAGGGTGCTATATAGTGGAGGAATGGACAAAAAACGGAGTGAAACGGTCAAAAACCTGCGAAGAAAAGCCTTCGTTCCTGATGACTCAAAAGCAATTTCGGACGAGTTTTCCGTGGGCATCTTGCCAATCACCGTTGCGATAGGTGTGGCTGCATGTATGTGCTCGTATTTCCATGCTGCATCGTGGCCGCTCCTCATGAATTCCTTCGCTTATATTTTTCTTGAAAGTGAAACAATACGAGCATCAGGTGTGATCGTCGGTACGTCGCAGGTTATTAGCCCTATGCAGGCACCTGTCTTGGAGAAGGCGCTACGCAGCACCTGCTCAGGAGCGCGAAGTCCCGTCCTGCCTGGCGTATTAATCCTACGTCCTAGGGACTTATTGCCAACTGCCTTTGATCAATGAATTAATAATAATGAATTATTCATTACGACCACAGCAATCTGGATCCTCATCTAAATGCACTAGGTTATCATAAAGTGGTGCCTCGATACATTGTCGTGCACATGCTTTGCCCGACCACATCCGAGCAGCATCACTGGCTACAAGCGAGACTTCTTGCATGACATCATGGGAAGAAAACCTTTCCACCACTTTGATCGTCACTGAAATTGAGAGGTGTCCCGATTTTTTAGCATTGACAAAAAATTGTCTTTCTGGGATCAGGGCACGTCATTGCCTCTGGCTCACGACCCGCTTCCTCCTGGTCGTGTGGATACCAGTTTCTTCCTGCCAAATATTGACCCCCTCCTCTGTGAAAAGGCCCTCGATACCGAACCCTCCCCCCGGGCTCTAGGACCAGATTAGCGACGGACGGACTAACTACACCGCCAAAACGTGATAAATATCCTGCGACCAAATAAACGACAGACTGAACAGGACGCGACGGCATTAAGCATAGCGATAAATGTCGCGCAGTAAAGTTGAAGTGAAAATGGAGCTATTAAATTCAGTGTAAGCATATCCAACATAAGATAGTAAACCCACGAATAGACATGACCGCGGACTAATACCAAACCCGAAACAAAATCCGCTAGTGCTGATAAACTCCATTAAAATCTCTGAATCCGTTCCGCGGGGGGCCATCTCACTCAGCCGCATGCAGTTAGAGTTGCCCGGGAGCGCGTCTCCAGTGCCATCGAGGTTGAAGAACAGCCTCATTTCACCACGATACCCGCTGGAGCCATACGCTCTTGTCAAAGCGAACCATACGGAAAGCTATCCTTCACCTTTACGCCACCCCGTCATAATCTTCTTTGAGCTGTCTGGAGGTGGAGGCCCTTTTCGGAGGGTGGCAACAGCGATGCCGGACCGGTGGAATCGTTTCTGGCCACTTGGTCTAACTCTCTAGTTGTAAGCGACCTCGAAAAACACTCCTTCCTTACAACAGGATTTTTATCTTGTACGGAGAATTTCCCTTGCCCGAACTATAAGTGTAAACTCTATCTTTCATCGCCCTGTAGCCATGATTCCTAGTTCTTTTGTGAGACTTTGCTTGATACTCTTTAAAATACACATCGTTTTTGCTAACGTGGCCCTGCCCACCTTATAAGAGAGAATACTTCATTTCTTCGCCCGATTGGCATGCACAGTCCTGGTAACGCGCCATGCATAGTGGCTCTCACGCCAGAGCGAAAGTGCAACTTATAGCATGGGGTTCCTCCGCCTGCACAGTAAGATGTTGCTCCTCCGCGAGTCCAGAATTAAATACCAGGAGCTGTTCCTCACCGTTTTTTATTACTCATATAGACGTCCGATATCTGCAGGGAGGCCCCCATCGTGCTTTCTGTCAGTCGCTCCGCTTCCCCATCGCCGGCTGACAGGTTGCGTCTGTCCTTGTACTGGTGTCTCTTCAGGGGTTCTTCACCTCCATGAGATAAGTCTCTTCAACGTTCCATCTGCAGCCTGAAGCGCCACCATCTCTGTCCCGGTTACTCCGCCTGCCACCTTACGTCAACACAGGGCCGCTGCGCCTTAGCAGCCCCCACCTTGTCTTTCCCGAGCGTTCAACGCATAGACTCCCCCTCAGGTTCGTGAGCATCATCACGATATCTGGCGCTGCCCTGTCCGTGGATAGTATAATATAACAGTTCAAGCCAGTCATCGTGAGAAGAAGAAGAGCAAGAAAAAAAAGGCGCGGACGCTCACGGCGCGCAGCTCTATAAGCTTTAACCAACATGGAATCCGATATGAGCTCCGAAACGCTCTTCTCGTCGACTTTCGTGCCGCAATGCGCTTACCTCAGATCCCAAAACGACTCCCCACTGTTAGATGAAACTCGGGATTAGAGACAACCAATGTGACACATACCACCGTTAAATGTGACCCTAGTGGTTATCTTGTTATTGACGACTATCATCTTCTTTCCTACGCATCTGCACCGCTATAAAACAAAAAACGCTACAGTTTTGTTTCGCCTACGGATCTTGAGGCGTTATCGAAGGGCGGCGGTTTTTTTCCACGGCCCTTTCTGTAGACGCACAAGACTGAAGCAGGCTTAATTTACAGAGGCGACACGCGCTATATACAACCCCTCCTGCTGGAACTTTTCTGGACGTCTTTGAGTTGCGAAGGTTATTTCTTCCCGCCCCTACGAAACAATTTCGAGTTCATCTGTATCTTTAGGTGGACCAGCCCAATAACTGTTGATCCTGTCTGTGTAAATTATTAGACACTTGATCAATAGAGAAGGCAATTCAAAAGAGTCAAAAATCGGAACAGACAATTTATGGTGACAACGTTTTAATAGAAATTACTCGCTTCTTACTCTTGAAAGTTCTAGTAGGTTTGTGATTATTGCGACAGCCGCGACGCAGTCCAAGCTTGTTTCATCTCTGGCACCGTTTCCTTTGTCATGCTCCCTTGTGTTAGTTAAGCATAGTAGAAGCCCTCCACTTGTCACCCCATCCCTGTCTTCATTGTCAGAAAAAATGTGAAAAAGCTCCAGAATCGCGAAATATAAGCGTTGCTAAAAACCTTTTTTTTTCATGGAGCTTTTGACTATGTGTTCTTGTAACAAAGTAGGTCACTTCATCCTTACCTTCATCGCTGTTGTCGAAGCAGTCGTTTTTCCCATCCATTACCAATTCTCCATCTATACATTCGCCGCTTATACATCGAAATTGTCCCCTCTCACATGACATTGCGGATTCTAAACCGGTGATCCTTTTAACAAGACTTAAAAAAAACAAAAGACAAAACTATAGCTTGATACCGGCTGGCCTCGTTAGTTGAGGTCGCGTCGTTGTGGTCGTTGTAGTCGTGGTTGAGTGGTTGTTGTTGTACGTTGTTGTTGTCGTTGTTGTTGTCGTTGAATTTGCCTCTGGCGTGGAGCATAGCAAGAGCTTACACGGTTCTGCAATAGTGTAGTCCCACAGTTGACAACAAGCGGGCGGGGCGTGTTTCGCGGCGCAGCTAGTGCAGCCTTTCCCGCCAATTGTAGCGGACTCAGGATGGTAGCATTGATGGGAAAAATCCACCCTGGCTCTGGCTGCGCTTATTCACACTGGTCACATGCCACATCGTTCGTAAGGATCATGACCGTAGTTATCGGCAAAGTGTTATTTCTGATGAAAAACGAGTGGGGTGGAGGGATGCATGGCTCCTCCCTCAACCATCCCTCTAGGCGACATTCTGAAAAGATTCCATAAAACGACAGGTGTGTTGTCAAACTGGTGGTAGGTTGGTTATGAAGGGTGAAAATACTAACACCCTACTTTTGTACAGCAGTTGGACTGTACACTACGTGGCAAGGTCCGTATGACTTGAGTCTATCCACGTTCGCTCATGTTGGAAAAGCTTACTTACTGCTGCAGTGCCGTTTGGTTAACAGAAGGACCTCAGTATCACCCCATCATTGCGACTGCTGTACGCCGGCATTGGCTCAAAGGAATTGGAAATCAAAAAAACTTGAAAATATTATTCGCTGATGCTGAATGCATAGACTGAGCGAGCGCTAGTTTCCAAGGCTATTTTGAGAAATTGTATGCTTAGGCTTTTTAGTTTTCCGGCGGACTTTCGCATGATGCCCTCTAATCAGTCGCACTGCGGAAGCACCTGTAGTGCAGAGGCAGCAAACATGAAACTTCAACGTCAAAACCAGAACTTCATGGCGTCTTACTGATTATCCTGGCGATTTGGCAAAACGCCAATCAGGTCGGCATGCTTCCGAAGCTATGTGAAGGGAGCGTGACCCTAGTAGCACTATTGTATGGATCTCTTCCAATCAGCTAGTATTAGCCGCGTGCGGCTAGGTGAAATTTGACGGCGATCACCTCGCGAGAATCTCAACCTGCACTCGGGCTACCCGTTTGTCGAGAGACGTCGCTCGCCACACCCACCACCGTCAGCAAGTTTGCAATGACCTATTGTGACCCAGCCACTGTAATCATCAGCAGACTTGGCTTACTTGGGAAGTAACATTTAGTTGGAAAGTTTTTATTGAAGGACACCACCAACCTTCATCGCTGCCGTCTCCACAGTCATCCTTTCCGTCCATAATCCATGTTGGGAGTACACAGTTAGGGGTCGAGGCGCACTTGATTGATGACGGCAAGCCACATAATTTCTTCCCTAGATTGATCCTCTCTACTACTGCCTTCTGGTATTTATCATCACTTACATCTGTATTCTGGACAACGTGTGTTCGTTTCTTTCACTCGATTACACCTTGCGCACGGGCCCTTCATAGACAGATGCATATCACAGAGCAGCCTGTTGCAGTTACACACTGAAATGATGGTAGAAGCAGAGGTTATTTTCAAGGTCCGAATTGAGCTAACACAACCCTCCGTCATCTCTAAAGATGTAATAGTCCTGTCCCAGAAACAAATTATAATAGATCATCTAACCTTTTTACATGAATATGTGGCGAAGGAAGACACTAATGGTAGCTGCGGGTTGCAATATCCAATATTGCAGCCATGGGCAAAAACCGGGTAAAATGACTCGACCCTTCCGTTCTTCTGGGAACACTCAAACCGCACCAGGCACGTATGTGAGACTGTACTCAAACCGTGCCAGGGACGTCTCTGAGACTGGAAGAAGTGAACTGTACAAAGACTGGAACAGGCAAGTCATTCTCCAGGGCAAACCACATTCAAACTGCAGCTACAATTCCTTATAAGTGTGGAGTGGAAGCACACTCCAAAAGGTACTAATCAATGCCTGAGTATCTATTCTCCATTGACATTTCTGGTCACATTCTAGAGCGAACTATGCAATGGGTTGAGCAGACCAACCGATGTGCTCAGCAGAGAATTTGACTGACTTCGTACCAATTACGATGAAAACTGAAGGCTTCTTTGCCGTTGGCTCCGCTACCAAGACTGGTCTCAGAACAGGGGGTGGTAGTAGAACCATTAGTAGGGCGTAACTCCATTCCGCCCTTTCTCTTGGAAGGATCGGAGAAAGGTTAAAAACTGCTTATGCGGTCGTCCTTAATGCGCTACATGTCAGTGTAGACGATACGCTAGATTCTAAATTAATATCGACCTACCCAACATGAAAAGCTTTGTCAATCTGTCTACAGACCGATCAGATTTGAAGTTGCCTAGACCGCTTTTCCTTCGACTTATGGTTAGATGCCACGCGAAATTAAAAAAACTTTGAGGTTCGACCTATCATGCCCTCGATGGGAAGTTCATCCATTACTTTTAGCAGTCTCTTATATTATATTGTCGAAATGTTTCCTTCATATTACATAAAAGAATTGCTTGCTAGATAGAATTAGCAGGTAATTACCATGCTGGACCATAATGACGAGCAACCTGACTAAATCCTCCACTCTACGATTAGACTGTTAAAAGAGTCAAGAGTGGAAGAATCGATACTGAGCTTATTGTTAGCCTCATGACCCCTGCTGATTACAGGAGGGGGAGCAAAAGGCCAAGAGGCGTACGATGCGGGGGAAAGCCAGATTGACTCGACGACCCTTCCTTCTGCACACACTTCGGACACTCGCTTCTGCCAACCTCTGGCCTAGGGGACTTCCGTCGCCAAGATCGGGGTGCGTATTATATCCTGTCACCAATAAACTGTCAGTTTTTACCTGTATTTACTTTTAGCAGCAGGACGCTCCATACTACGGAGGTGAGTCACACTCGTTTTTAGTAAGGTTGAATGCTTGGTCTTCTGTGATCTCGGGGGCACGTTCTTGTCACGACTGATGGCCAGGGTGGCGGTTTGGGACAAACTCATAGAGAGTCTATTTTTTTTCCTCTTATCATACGGTTGTTCGTGGGCAACACTCGATTTTTTTTCATATAAGCTATTCATTTCTGCACTCCTCTTGCTGCAGGCGAGCTTCTATTTCCATGGCAGTCGTGAGAGTTTTTTGTCTCGGAGGGCCATCAGTGTGTATTCCGTGGACAAGTTCAGTTGTCAGCCACCCCTTCGTTCGTTTACCTTTTGCGAACGATTACAGTTTTTTTTTCATTTGTTCCCTCATGTTCCATGTACAAGAGGCGGAGCCATACAAAAGGTCAGGAGACGTACGATGCGAATGGGGAAAACCAGATGACTTGACGAGCGTTCCTTCTGGACACTCGCCTCTGCCAACCTCGGACCTAGTGGACTTCCCGTCGCCAAGCTCCTCGTCGGTATTATATCCTGTTACTCAGTTGCTAATAAATGTCTCTTCACCTGTATTTGCTAACTACAAAACGGAGCTGTGCGCCCAGATTGGTGGAGGGACATCTTGCTTTTTCGCTAGTTCATTTTTTGTTTCCTCTTAGGTCACTCGTTTCTCCTTAGTGAACACCTAACCTGGAGACTATTGTCAATACAAACGAAGCTCATGCCATTTATAGCTTTACACGAATTCACAGCCTTCACAGGTGGAAGCCAGCGAAATACCCCTACCAGGCCGTACTGCGCCCAGCGAGACTCCTGTTTCACACATTTTATAAACACAAAGAATCAGTTCACTCACCTCGACAGTCCATCGTCCTTGAAAGCCTGAGCAACGCGGATAAGTAGATAATAAGCAGACTATAATCACGAAAGCATAGAATTGGCTTTTAACCCTTCGATTCTAACGAAACAACTTCGCTCACCGTTCAGCTGAGTAGACTCGGAGGAGCCAGCGGAGCATTATGTTTTCATTCAGTGTGGAAGGTGGAAGTTTGAATTCAGAGCCACGACCACCTGTGAATCGAGCGTGGAGCAAAAGCGACCAAGCGCAAACAATGGCCAAATTGCCTCCCACATAACCGATATACTTCCCATAGCAACGCAAAAAAACTTCAAGAACCCACAAACGAAAAACAAATATGCAAACAGCCAAGCAGTCAGGTTCTCAAAAGCAATTCAGATAGAGTTACATATAACTTTCCCACACAGTCTCTGAGCTTACATCTGCAAAACGTGGCTGTAGATGGCGCTTATGAACAGAAGCCTACTTCTGAGACCTCTGTGGGAAAGTTATATGTAACTCTATCTGAATTGCTTTTGCGAACCTGACTG